AAATACTGAGGGGTGGGATAAAGTTGCTTTAAAGTTTGCTTGGACCAAAATGTAATTTTTAGTTGCTGAATTCAGAGACTTGTTTCTTGTGTAGAATAATTTGTATAGTAGAAAATTTTAGTTTAGTTCATTTTAGGAACTCAAATCTGGTTCTTTTGCCTTGTTTTTCTGATCAGTTTGGAGGCAGTGAAGACGGACAGTTCTCTCCTCATAGCCACTTTGAGGACAGACCACTGGTTTGGGCCTTCACGTAGGGCAGGAGGCCTCTGGTTTCAGTTTCCATCTCTGCATGAGAGTATTCTCAAACCACATCTGAACCATGAAAGTTGGGAAAGTCAAAAGAAATTTTTCCACTACAGTCAGCCAGATGCTGACCAGTTCCAGCTGAGGTTAATAGCTCCTTTGCTTCACGGTGTATTTCCAGCAGCTGAAGGAGCGTGAGGATGGCCAAGCAATCCTGCCTGGTTTCCAAGGCATACCACTGAGAGGCAGAGATCCAAATACTCAGATTGCATCATTCTTTTGAAGTCACTCCTTCTTTGACTTCAGTTGTGGTAATGATTTATGTCAGCTGATCCTTGAAGCCACAAATAGAACTGATTTGATGTGACCTTGGACGTGCATGTTAGATCTCCTATATGGTTTCAGATGATCCACTTCATAAACAGTCACATTATTTCCCTTGCATTTTGTGTTATTGTCCGCTCAATGGGATGTTGGAAGCTGAAATTGTCAGAAGAGGCCATAGGAAGGAGATGCCAATTTTGGCTGCTTGAATGAAACTTCAGGTTTGGCTTTTCAGAAGATATAGGGAGGGCTGTGGAAGTTCTTGGTGTTATGCAAATGACAGCTGTTGCTGTTCCCTCTCAGCACAGCAGATCCTGATTTGCTGTTTGGATTATCTAATCACTGTCAGCCCAAGTGTTTGGGATGGAAGTAATTGCAGCAGTATTTTCAACTAATTCCTATTCATGTAGTAGTAGTGGGAATGTTGATTTTGAAGGATAAGTGAGCTAAGTATTCATGGCTGAATAGGCACCTGAGAGGATTTGGGGCTGGTTCTTGTTGTTGCTGTCAAAACAACTCTAACGACCTAAACAGTTCATGTGCTGTTGTCAACCTGAAGAAATACTGACAAGTCTCAGACACTTACTTGATCATGATGGCATCAAGGACCTAATTACTTGCTTTGTATATGCTCATAACAGGACCTATGATTAGCTCTCTGTCTTGGGCACATCATCAGCTCTTCTGTGCATTGACTGCATTGAAAGGCTTTCAGTGCTTCTAGGCAAATGCTGCTGGATTTGTTATTTCTAGAGTTTTAGGATATCATGAAGTTTATGCTCAGTTAAGATTAGTGCTGGCTGTTTACCTGCAAGGTATTTATGTCATGGGGCCATATAAATGATACAGTGATAATATAGGTTGTTGATGGCAATTATCTCAGCATCTTCAAAAATGAAATACTATGCAGGTTTTAAGTGAATGGATGCATCTTCGTTTTGAATTTGTTCATATAAGCTCAGCAGGCAAGAGTTAATAATTAGATCACTTATATTAATGAAATACCAAAATATATATTCATAATTTATGCATTACCTCTAATAAAACCACAATACTTTATACTACTTTTAGCTACTATTACAGTCCAGTATATAACTGCATTTGAGTGCTGCCTCTAAATGCTTTACCTTGCCTTAGTTTTACCCACAACATCAAATAATGGTATCTGTTTTGTTGCTGGAAATGCTGGAGAAAGATCTAGTGAGGGATGAATCACAATGAAGTCAGTGGTGCAAAGAAGGTCTAACAGAGGTTATTGATGTTTCTAGTAGTTCTCTGTATTGTTTTGGAGAATTGAAAACTCTTCTTGTGAGAGGTTTAAACATCTTTCTATGAATTTAACATCCTGGAACCCTATTTGTGCCACCAAATTGCACGGTCAGGTACTACGCAAACATACAATTAAACTTTTCAGTGTGGAAAGAGGCAGGTGTATGACAGATGAGTAATGACAATTCCTTAGACAAAGTGACTGGCTACATAAAATATATGGGAACTGAGGATTCATTGTTACAGCTTATCCCTTGAAAACTGTAAGCAAGCTTCCTGCTGGTGTTGAGCTAGCTATGTAAGCAATGCTTCATTCTTAGTAAGCATTTGTAGTGCAAGTATAACATTGGATAAGATGCAGTATCAATAGTATTAACTGGGCAATGGAGTCTTTCTAATTACGCAGGTGGTCTGTTAATGGCTCACCTAACTAATTACATTTCAGTACCTATGTGATTAATTCTGCTGCAAGCCACGTACGTCTTCACTCATCAACTACCCCCTTCTTTGGGGAATAACTCTTGATGAGAATGCTGCTCTTAAATGCAAAAAGAAGCTGTTTATTTTCTGTGCAGTACAGTATGAATAGTAGAGGATAAATTCAGAGGGATGTGAGCCTCAGCCATCTTTCTGTACATAACTGCAGCTCATGTTAAGTGTTTTTTTTTTTCTAATCTAGTGCCAAAAAAGCAGCTTAACACCTTAACCTGGCAGTACAGAACACTACTACTCTGGCCTTGCTTTCCTCTAGAGATACCACAAGGGGAGAGACCTGATTCTTTGATACTGAAAGAAGACTAAGTTCAGAGAAGTAACCTTCATGACCTGATTTTCCTCCAGTTAGCATTATGAATGATGCTTATTCTTCATAGCTGTAATTATTTGGGTTGGGATGAGTTTGTCCTAAAGGCACTAGCATATTATATTATGACAGAGAACTGTTGTAATATGGGAGCAGAACCACAACTCAAAAACTCAGTATTTATATTGGAGGATGATTTGGCTTTTGCATCCTTGGAGGTGCTTACATGTAACAGTTGGTGTGATTTTTTTTTTTCCCTCCCAGCTGTGCCATGTTCCCAATCTAAATCCAAGAATTAGTCTGGGGTTAGTTGTTGTTGAACTACAGTAACAAATTCCAGTAGCACCAATTTATAGCCACCAACCATGCTTGAGTGGAGTTGAGTGTTAGTGGTACTTATGTTTCCAGTGGCATTTGGAAAGGTGATAACTGTCCTGGTTTCGTACCTGACCAAAGGCAGAACAAAGCTCTATTTCTGTGTTTTTGCAGAAGATTGTTCTCATTTGGTGTCTAATTCCATGTGCTGCTGAGCTCTATGTTGGAGCCACAGCTTTGAGATGTTTACTGCCCCAAAGAGGCAATACTGAGTGCAAATTGTCTGAGTAGGACATCATCATGTTATAGTTCTTATCCTCATGTTTGTATAGTGACTAATTACTAAAGCACTCTGTTCACTAATTGCTAAACTTAAAAATTGTAGGTTTTTGGAAAGCAAAAGGTGGGTCTTCAAACTTTTGAATGACTTTGGGGGAGGGAGGGTAGGAAAGCTTTTATTGTCAGATGTGCTGAGATTATCTGGGCATGACAAACAAGATTTTCTCAGAAGGTAAATTTAGAAAAGTATCTTCCAGTAGAAGTGGGTACGTATCTGAATTTTTGGTAGTAAGCTCTCATTTTGGTCAGTGTCTAGTAATTCTTGAATAATTCAATTCAAACCCTTGCATTAAACAGGACATGTTGACTGGCCAATAATCTGGAAAACTGGAAGAAAATCTTGATAGGTTCAGCTGGTGCCTGGCATCAGAGCAGCCTGTCCATATGCTAAATATTTCTGCAGCCAAGTGGGCAAGGAGTATGAGTGTCCACATGCAAGGCAGAATAACAAAGCTGGGGGGAATAATATGGTTCCCTGAACAGCTTTATAGAAACAGCTAAAAGCCAGTGAAAGAAGCACAACTGGTCAACTAGCAATCATTTTCATGCACAGCTACTTAGTTATAGGTACTTTTCATGGACATAATTGTTTTGTGCTGAATGCATTAGTTAGAAACCCATCAAAGGATTAAAGGATGGAGTTGCCTTGTCTGCTAGTTGCATGTTGGGTACTGGTGTAGTTGGAGGCAGTGAGATGTTTTGATGGATCTCATCACTGAGCAGTCCATTTGTGCTAGCCTGGAGCTCTGCCAGAGCTGTGCACTACTTGATAATGGCTGATCAATTTTTTTGTTTGAAATCACACTAATTTTAGTGGCAGTTTTGTTTTATTTCTAACTTACCAGGTGTTACTTTTGAATTACTGATTAAATGTAGGCTGTGAACAGTTGGCAAGGTTCAAATTTCTTTTTTTTTTTTTTTTTTCCCCCTGTGCAGACAGTATGCTATCTAAGTTTTGAATGTAAAAGGATGACAGAAAGTGCAGCACGGTTAAGGACTAGGTGGGAAGATTGAAAGAAATGGGGGCAGAAGTTTGAGAAATGAATTGGCGTAATGCTCCAGGTGCAGAAAACTTTTTTTTTTTTTTTTTTTTAATCTCTGCACAGGCAGAATCTGTCCCGAGTGACTTGAATTTAAATAGCTGAACCTTGAAAACAAAATGCCACTTCCAAAATTCTTGGTTCTACAGTTAAATGTTCTGTCATCTTCATTAGCCAGTAATTCTTTCTCCCTGTGTAACCACCCTTACTCTTTTATGTACTGTATACACATATAGCTTTATCTGTTGCACTGATCTGATGGAAGGTGCACTCCTACCTGTGTGCTTGAGCTTTCCTCACATCTGTCTTAAGCATAGAAGACCTCAACCAGTAACAAATTAACATAGAAATGTGTTGAAAAAAACTTTACTTTGAAAATATGCTTCCCATATAGCCCTGCATATTATAAGTCTGATGATTACAGCTTGCTCTTGTTAGCACCTTTCAAGCAAGCATCCATTGTCTTAATAAGAATTTGTGATTGTATTGTAATTCAAAAGAAATATGATGTAACTGTCCATTAGCTTGATCTTACTTTTTGTCTAAACTACTGAAAGCCATTAATTTTAGCTCCAGAACAGCATCTGATTTATGAGTCTAACTTCTATGCAAATATTAGTGATATTCAAGTCATTGGAGATGCTAAGTTTACTCTCTTGTGTTTCTAGATTTACCAGAGATGCTGGTTAGTATTCAAAAAAGCTTCAAGCAAAGGGCCAAAGAGGCTGGAGAAATTCTCAGATGAACGAGCTGCTTATTTTAGATGCTATCACAAGGTAAGGCTTGATTATATGCTTGTTTCTCAGACTTGTTTTTGCATACAACCAGCAGTAAAATCTGAAGTTGTCACATATTAATTGGCCTTTTTTTTTTTTTTTTTTTTAAAAAACAATCAAGGTTTTACTTTTTTTTTAATGATCAAGGTTCTAAACCTATTGGTACATGTATGTTCCTTCATTTGGTAAAGCAGAGGCAGACTAAGCATTCACTTTCCTGCTCTGTAGCAACCATCTTGCTAAGGTAATGGAAAATGACTATTTTTGGAGAAGATGACCTTTCCTCTCCTCATCTTGATCATTTCTCCTTTAAAATCACATCTGAAATACTTCAGAATGAGTACTATTCATAATTGCAGTAACAAACGTGCACAGTAATGTGAATTCAAAAAAGCCACGTGCTTAGAGGTTCCCATTTTACTTGGATTTTGCATCTGTGTATTACACAGCTACAGAAATGATAGGTAACATGCAAATCTATATTATGCAGGCAGTGTACAGTGATGTGAAAACCTTTGCTAAATTCACTGGTATTAAAAAGAATGCAGTTTTTCCCTCAAATCACTTCCCTGGTGTTCTGTGCACATTTCATATTCATCTGAGACTTTACATGTGTAATTCTTCTGGGCACAGAGATGAAAATGAGAAAGCCTTTAATTTATAATCATTGTTGGCAAAAGCTTAATATATTAGAAGATTAGGAATTATGTGCATAAATTGCTAGGAGTCAGGGAGCACAACTCAGCTTGAGGCTGATCTGCACTTATTCACTTTGACGTACGTTTAGGAGGAAATCTTGAGGGAATACTGAATCTGAACTCAGACTTGTCTGTCTACATGCCATGTAATTTGTAATTGATTGATCATAAAACCTGTGGCTATTTGTAGTAAGTCATGCCCAGAAATACTTCATTCAAATTTTTATTAAGGAACTTTCAAAAGTAATGAGAAGTGTATTTTTTCATTTGATGTGTGAGAGGATTGCATAGTGTGTGTATAAGATGATTTCCAGCTGTATGAAACATTGCATTTATATTAGTACAGTTCTGTCAATTATTGATGCAAATCTGTATTTCCTCTGTTGTATTAATGCAATATATCAGCAGCACTCACTGGCTTGAGGTTCAGATTAGGGAGTGGATATGAAATCCAAGAGGAGTCTAAATCAGGCTTTTTTTTTTTTTTCTTTCAAGAAGATATGTAGGTGATCACTTATTTGTCACAGGTGTAAAGTAACAGCAGTTTCCTGCATCTGGACCAGTGGACCAAAGCACCGTGAAAGTCCCATTACCTTTTAGCTTAGCCTATAGTTAAGTCAGTGTTCAACTACTGCAGCTTCTATAGCTGGAGTTCTCTGGTAGCTTATTTAACAGGAATAAATAAGCAAACTCCATAGCCATTCCCTGGGAATTCATTGTTTATTTTAGTACCTGTAAAGTTTGTATGTATAGCTTTCAAAATTTGAATGTTCTGAAATTATACATAGTCAGATTGTACTATTAACAGGTATTGTAGCAAACCCTAGTCTTGGCTGAAGGTTTGAGAAACGTTGTCAAAGCATAAGACATCGTTAAAATATCATGTTTTGCACCTAACCTCAGCCAAGTTCTTTTTATCAGAATTTAGCCCAATCTAGGGCTTGCTTTAGGATGAAGGCCAAAACCTAAATGTATCAAGGGGAAGTAAGCAGAGAAACTTCTCTGTTGGAAGAGTAAAATGCACTTGAATGTATGTTGCTTGAATGCAATGTTTGCTCCCAGGAATATTGTTTCCAGATAGTGAATTAATAGATTACTTTGTAAGTCTCCTTTTTTGTGTGTCTGTGTGTGGGGGGGGATGGTGTCTTGGAGTCTGAGTCTTGTGCTGAAAATGCCTGAGATGATCAATCTCAGCTTATATATGTGTGTGTATAAAATATATACACACACATTTTGTTTTGGATTTGCCAAGCTAGATTGCCAGCTTCAGTCACTCTGAGCCCTTCTCCTAAGCTTCTGTCTGCTTCAGGTCCTGGGTATGTACACGTAGATCTAACAGCACGCAATGCGTTTCTGCCATCCTCGTGTAGGAAATGGAGAGGTGTCTCTTCCCAGCACCATGTCAGCCTGTGGGTCGGGTGAGCTTGCTGGGAGCCCCTGGGGTGCAGACGGGCAGAAGAACTGGCAGCAAGGTGTTTGTTCCTGTGAGCTGATCTGGGAGTGATGCCATCAGTGTTTGCTCTCCACACTTAGTGTCCTTGGCAGGCTGTAAATGAAATGGTGCTAACCAAGCAGAGCTGTTCAAGTGTGATTGCTCAGGGTGGTGGGTTGGTCCTTCTGCAGTTTCTGTTTGTCAGTGGGGCTCTGCATTGTCCCCATTTTTTTTCCACTGTGATGGAAACTGAGGACGTCTAGTTCTAGAGTCATCAGCTATAAAAGTTGACAGGTGCTGGTTATTTTTAACAAACCTTACTTGAAGCTAATGAATATTAGTATTTTCTGGCTAAAATGTGTTAACTTACAAAGAGTACACATGGTTTAAAATGACTTTATCTTTTTAAAAAGCTTTGTAAATGTGTGGAATTTTTAAGGTGGTGAATGATGCAACTTCCAGCAGTTTTAAATATGAGGTGTTGGAAGAGGAGAACATGTCACTGCTACTCCGTGTTACACTGTAGTTGAACTAGGTCTTGTAAAAACAATATTTAATGATTAAAAATCAAACAAAAAATAATATGGCAGTCTTCAGTTAACATTATTTCTCACCTGTTCCTGATGTATCATATTAATGGGACTTTGATGCTCATGACATCATCCAGGGGTCTAGAATAGTCCCTGCTATTGTCTTTATATACAGCTGGTCAGCAAGAGCAGCTGCTCTAATAGCTTGGTGTTGTGCAGAGCCTTTTGGTGACTATTTTAATTCTGTCACTTTTGGACAGAAGGCTGCTTCTCAGCATCTCTGACAAAATTAATCCTAAAAATGAGGAGCCCAGGCAGTCCTGTTAACACACCAAGTGTCGCTGTGTCAAAAGATGCTGCTAATGAATTTAAGGATGAATGTAGTTCAGCCTGATAGATGATGGTGTAAGAGGAAAACCTTACTAACAGATTACCAATGTTTCAGAAATACAGTTGTTAACTTCCTACTTGGGTTCTAAAGTAGTTCTCAAATGCTGTTGAAAGCAGCATCAAATCTAGAAAACTGAGGAGCCCTTGCTCACCCCATCAGTCTCTGGAAGGGTTTAATCCATCATCAGACTGTAAAGGGTAGAAAACGAAAAATGATGAATGTAGCTAATATTTCAGTAGCACCTGCCTCTTTCACTGAAGTGTTAAATTGTTTCATTTCGTTGCTTTTTTTTCTGTGATGAATTAAAGTGCAAATGTTACTTCAATTTATTAGTGGAAGGAGTCTGGGGCATTTGTTCTGGCACTATGGCAGTACCAGTCACTGACTCGGAGTAGGCACAGGCTGGGATGTACATCATCTTGTCAACATTGAGTCGAGATTTCTCCCTTACCCATTTGAAGCCTGGGTCACAAGCTCAGCAGTGTTGCTGTCATACCAGGGGGTCCAGGTTGTTCATATCTAGAGACGTGATTTCTATGTCCTGCTCTGCAGCCCTGTGCTGGAGGCTTAATTTTGATGTCCTTGCCACTCTCATCTTGCTGATGTGATGCCATTTCTTCTCCCTGCCCTATGGCTGGTGCCTCCCTCAACTCACTTTCTTTGCATTGCTGTCATCGTTCTGTTGCCATACCAGTAGTCTGAGGACTCTTACCCATCTAGAGGGTTGATAACAATTAGCTACCTGGGTTTAGAGGTTTATTTTGGAACAAAGGAAATTCATTCATTACTTTAGGTCCAGTTGGTTTGGACATTCACCTCTTAAATTATTTTAACTTTTGCTTGTCAGGGTATATGCTTCCTTAGAAATCATGTATGTATGTAAGACATCTATTTTTATGTAAAACATTCCAGTCATTATAAGTTAAGCCCATCTATATCTGTCTCTCTTATTAAATGCGATCTAAAGTATCGAGACTTCTACTTAGTTGGCAAAGTCATTGTCCAGGGAACTTTGAAGCAACAAAAGAAATAATACCTTTTGTGTAATATTGACCTTTTTATACTTTCTAATGTCATTCTCTCTTTTTTTTTTTTTATTTTATTTTATTTTAACATGGAAAGGTTAAAGCGTATTAAAACACAGGTCATCTGAGAACAGTCATCTGTAGCTTAGGAAGTGAACTGGAAATTTGCATACACAAAGCAAATTGCCCACTTAATTCATTTTGGACCCACAAGGGAATGAAAATAATTAGGATCCAGGCAACAAAATCTGGGCAGAGAATTGCCTTTCAGGTAACTCTAGTTTTCATTTGGTAAATATAAACAGTCATCCACAAATTACCATATGCTTTAGCAAAATAATATTGGGGGTATGAAGAAATTCTTTCTCCAAGTGAGTTTGGATTTTGAAATGTGCCAGAAGAATCCTTAATATTCCAATACAGAACCAACTAATTGCATACTGCTGACAGGAATACACTGATTCCTCGAGGGGGTCTAAGTTTTAATCCGATTGTATTAATCTTGCCTTGAAACAGCAGAAGCAATTTAAACAGTCTTTCTGTCTAGTTATGGAATAATCCATTTGGAAAATTGAATTGTGTAATTTGTAATTGTTTTTCAGGCTTTCTAATGCAAAACTGTACCAGTAGCAAATTAAACGTTTAAAGTATGACCACTCTACTTATAACTGGCTGTTAAACATTTGTTTTAATGAATACTATCACTTATTACAAACAAAATGTCTGGTTTGAGGCTTTAAAAAAATTAAAGCAACTTGTCAGGGTATTTTGGTATCTTCACTGTAATGCCATGCAGCAAGGCTCAGCACAAGTCTGGAGGTCAGGTATGTGTTGGAGGGGATGACGAGGACAGAAAGCTGGTCACCAGCAGCCGTGGGTATTGTGTACAGCTCCCCTGCTCTGGTGAGTGAAGGAGCAGCTTCT